ATTCACGTGTCATAGTGATATCTTTAAACAGCTTAGCTCTTATGCTACTGCGAACATTTTTTTTAAAATTAAAAACAACTCTCCCCTTACCACCCACCCACCCCCAAAAAAAGACCTCAACCAGGCATTTTAACATATAGATAAGAAGAAAAGTTAAAATATTTGCCTGTGATCTAATTACTTGATAATCTCAATAATAAATGCACACAAATCAGGGTTCATCAGTTTACATTTAAAATGGGAAGCACAGAGAAACTGAACAACTTCCTCTTTACAGATTTCATTGGAAACGCTAGACTTCTGACTCATAACAAATGCATTTAAAATGGCTTAAAACACGCATTTATTCCAATTGCACAGCTTTACTCCATCAACAGCACCATCACAGCACTATATATTCCAATCCAGCCTTAGCTTTTGAAAGCATGTGTGTAGTTCCACTCCACAGATTAATGCATGGCTATGAACCAGAATCTCAAAAATCTAAAAAATGTATTGAAAATAAGCATAATAGCCGCTGTGCACAGTACCTTAAATTCTTCTTTTGTGTTTGTAATCTGAGCAAGGTCTTCTTGTAGCTGCTCTTCAAGTGTTCTTATTTTGTCATCTTTCATATGAAAACTGAGACAAAAACAGTTAAAAATGCTTTCTTCTCTCTCATGTACTTACAAGAAGCCTTGATTCAAACAAGTCTAAAAAAAGAGAAGCACTAGAAGTTGTTTACCCAACATTGGATTTATTTTATTTACCTTTTCTGCATCCTTTCCAGTTCATGGGCAGCAGCAGCCTACATAGAAAGAGGATTAAGTAGTCTTAACATGCATCACATGATTCAATCAACTACATTCTCCCATATTAAAAAGCAGGAGCAAGTCATTTCTACAAGTTCTCCCAGTACATCAACCTCCAGTGCAAGTAAATGGGTCATGCCATATTCGCAGGCTGTATGCTCACACGTTTCACATTTACTCATTCAACAACTGGTAATTCTCAATGCTATTCTACCATTTCCTATGGCTGTTTGAGTAATAATTAAATACACAGCCAGAAAACAGTGACCATGGACTGAAATGTGAAGTGCCAAATTTCCTATAACTGCACAGGGAAAGGTGATGTTTGTCATAGATTGATTCATGCAAGTCATAGGAATGTAATTCACTACTGTTGACAGCGTCTTGGAAGGATACCTTTGAAGATTTAAATGAATCTTTAGAAAGAAGCAATTTACTCCATTTATTGGGTTATTAAATCAGATTTAAAAATGAACACAATTAAAAGGGATTTCCTCAGATACTACGTTTCACAAAATTTATCACTGAGTTGCCCAGTTTGGTAATCTTTATATTTCGATAAAGCTACTCTAGAAGTCTGATAGGAATCGGTTGCTCTACTTGCAAATTAAGGTACGACTCAGCATGAACATGGCAGAACATGACCATTAAGCACTGCTTACCTGTTCATTTGTCAGAGCCTGTAACTTCTGCACTTCTGTTTTCAGGGATAAATTCATATTCTGCACAGCCTGAAGAGGAAAGAACCAATATATCTGCTTTTTAAATATGGATCCCACTCCAAGTTTGTCCTTGTAAGCACTTCTCAATGTTTTCCTTAGAGTTTCCCATTTTCATCAAGAAAGCCTCTCCAACCCTCTCCGACTTTACCATCACCTTGTGGCAAACTTGGATCCTGCTCCTACCATCAGGTAGGAACTCCTACTCCTGTAGTAGTGGATGCAAAGATCTGGCCTATGGAGTTCCAATCCACGATCAGAGCCTCCAACAAGCTTGCTTTGCAGCCTTTCTTTAATGTGGATGCTTTACCTTGAACTCCTCTTCCTTGCTAGTTAAACTGGCATGTTCATTAGCCAACGTCTCCTCCATCTGCTTTATCTGTTTGTCCTTCTCTGAAACTCTGTATAAACAAACCATAACAATAATTTGTAATAAGACATGTTAGAAAAAACTATGTTTAAGCATTAAGCTGCACTTATTGATTCAAGCTGCAGCAAAGCAGATGCAGACTAAATCTCAGGGGAAATTTCCTAACTGTCAGAGCTGCAGGACAAATGGAACAAGCTGCCCAGGAGGTTTTCAAGGTCCTCTGCTGGAGGTTTTCAAGAAGTGGCTCGATGGGCACCTCTCTGGGAGAGTTTAAGGCCAGCAAATCCGCCATCTGTGCAAGGGGTTGAACTACTTGACTCCTGAGGTCTCTATAATTATAAAAAGGAAAAGTATACTAGTCCAAGCTCTGGCCTGCTAAAGTTATTCCTGTTAACACCATGGTTTTGGACATCAAGGGCTTCCCACTGGGATTTTAAATCCTCTAGGCCAGGGGAAATCAACCTTTTCTGGCTGCAGGCCAGAACGATTCACCCCAGGGTGGGCAGGTAGTCAGGTGCTAGGACCCAGCCACCAGCTACCACTTGTCCCTGTGGTGGAAGTGGGGAAAGCCACCTGCTAAAGCAGAGACCGGCAATTATTTTGGGCAGGGGGCCACTTACTGAGTTTCCACAAGCCATCGAGGGCCACATGACAGGCAGCCCAGGGCAGATTAATATTAATTTTCTAAATTTTTTAAGGGCCTTGTGGTCCAGCTAGAATGGTTTGGCGGGCTGCATCCGGTCCCTGGGCTGCACTTTGCCCACCTCTATGCTAAAGCCACATATCTGCAGGCCAGATACAATGGTTCTATGGGCTATACCCAGCCTGTGGGCCATAGGTTGCTGACCCATGCTCTAGGCTCATCAAAAAGTTAAAAGATGGGCATTATAACCACTCTGTCCCCTCCCCCAAAATGGAACAGATCTAGCACCAGGGCTCAGCCCAACTACTGACTCTCACAGACACACACATTCCTGCACACTGCACTGCTCTTTGCATACAACCAAAGGCAAATAAGAAAAGAAGCATTCACTTCTGAGTAGCAGACAGAGCAGCATACAACACACTCCAAGTCAGGGGTGGGGTGGTCCAGGGAGGGGAAATCCGGGAGGAAGAGGTTTTCCAGCTTCTAAGAATCACACAATGCAGGTTTGGGGTTTTTTTAAACCACTATGTAACAGCATTTCCTTAAGGAGTCTCTTTCCTATGTAGCCAGCGCACATTTAAGAAGAGCGTGTACACACAGGGCAGGCAATAAAGCCAGCAACCTTCATAAACACATGAGGAAATGAATCCTTACACTTTGTGTAGTTCTTCTGCCAGGACTGAAGCAGAGGTCTGTAGAAGGAGGGAAAAAAATAGCTGAAAGTAAAGCCAAACCCTTGTCTACACTGAGCCAGGAACAGCATCTGCTGGACTTTAATTTAAAGATATTATAAACTGACATTGTCAATCATAAAAAATTCCTGGCAAAAGGAAATATGAAATAGTGTAAACGCATATTAAGTCCCTGCCTACATTGGGCCCAGAAGCCAAGGCATCTTCAGTGGAAAGCAGAACTCTTGTTTGACACTAGTGAAAATCAGAATGTGAAATAAGCAGCAAATACTTCTCATAGTAAAGGCTCTTACAGACATAGTGCACTAAGAGATATTCAGCTGGCCGCTTTCAGGATGTAATGCACTCTGCAGTGTATTCTATATTAACAGCAGCTTTGTTTGATAGATGTGATGTAGGAATGAATGGTATGAGGAGAGCAGAGGATGTTTTTCTCTAGCTAACATCTATCCATACTGGCACATGAACAGCCAACCAACAGATTTCTCAGTTGTCTGAAGACAAAGAGGTGCACTGCATTGAGTCTGCTCCCTGACAGTCATCTCAACAGAGCAGACTTGCTCATTATCAATACACCAAGCAAGGAGTGTCAAGACCTTTTCCAAAGTGTTCTGCATTCCATTTGAGGAAAGACTGGATTCATACTGGAGAGCAGCGCTCCCTCTAAACTGTGTGGTGTGCGCAGCCATGCTCATTCTGCACTACCAGGCACGCCTGCATGGCCATGCAGCTTAGAGCAAACGCTGCTGCAGTCTCCACATACCTCTAATTGCAAAGGCTCTCATATCTCTGCGTCAAGTACCATAGACTCTTCTCATCCAGTTTCTCCTAGCCCCTAATCCCAGTACTCACCGAAAGACAATCAAACCCCCTGACACACACCATGTTTCCCCACCTCCCAACCACATAGTACAGAACTGATTTTTTGCCTCCCTAATGTCAGCAGTGTCAAAATGAATGTGACACTCCTGAGCTATATAGCTACAATATATATTTTGTCATACTGTTCTTCAGACTCCTTAAAATGTACTTGCTATATTGTAGGTACTGTTTTCACATGTTAACTGGCTTTTTAAAGGACATTTCCCATTTAAGATTGCAAACCTGAAAAGACTCTTACAAGGGGGTGTACCTGGGCTGCCATTTGCGAATGAAACTTTTGAAGCTGAGTTTTCAAAGCCTCGTTCTGCTCCAACAGCTCCTTGGGAAAGACAGACACAAAGAAAAGCAGGTTTATATCTGCCATTGGTGAAGAGATCCTGAGCAGTGATTAACCAGGAGGTTTTAGAAAGTTGGGCATCAGGATTTTACACCTGAGACTCACTGCTCAATAACAGTATTTTTCTAATTACCAAGTCTGAATAGTATTGGGTGAAGCTACAGAATGGCAGGGAATGTCAACATGCAACATAAAAATGTTCCCCGCTTCTCTAAACCACACAGCAGCAAGCTTTATGGAAACCAATATATCATCAAAATATCACACTGAGTTGTAAAATGATAGTTTGGAACAAAGTATATTCATGCTTGTATTCAGCTGCAAAGCTCTGTTAAAGCAGCACTAAAATATCACTGTGCCTTGTTGTGTGTGATGGGGGGGGGAAGTCACATGCTACTGCAATACCTGAACCTGCATTTGCATAGACTCCTCTGCAGTGACTCTCTTCTGTTCAGCCTCCATTAACTGCAGCATCCTTTGCTCCAGCTGCTGTTTAGACACCATTGTATCTGTGAGCTTACTGTGTAAGCTCTGGATTTCATTGTCTTTGGCCACAAGCTTATTCTGCACATCTATGGCATAAAAATAAAAACTGTGATGAAATGCATAATTTGGGGAGGAGGAAAGAGGGAAAATTAATTAGAAGCCCTCCGTTTCAGCAGACGCATAACTTATTTACTCCTCGTGTTTAAAACAGTCATCATTATTATTGTCTCATTAAAACATACAATCTTCCCAAGGCATAAGAAGGGTATTTCTGAAGTCTTTCCTTTACATTTTCCTACACAGTCTAACTTATCTGTCCAATATATCAAGAACGTCCTTTGTACACTTTGGAAAGATGAAGCACAGTATACCTAGTATCTGGAGATAAAAGTTTTATCTCACCTTGCTGTGCTGCTTCATGCTCTGCTGTTCTTTTCCTGAGAAAGGTCTGGATTTCCTCCCATCTTCTCTCAGCTTCCTGCTGTTGGACCTTAGATTTTAAAGTTTGGGGTTAGAAAACAAGGGTTAGTGTTCAGCCTTTGGGATATGTTTAAGAGCACATCCCTACTCTTTAGTGTCCTTTCTAAAACTTTATCCTGTGGATGGCAGAACCTGCCACTCCCACTGAAAGCCATGTCACATTGGAGCCATTTAATCCCAATAAGCCTCACCCCAAAGGAAAACCTAGTCTAATTTCTCAAGCAAAGTCCAGACAACACAAACTACAAGCCGCTAGCAGATAGATTTTTACAGCTAAAAAGATACCACTTCCCCATGCACAGTTAGGAATGTTAATTAGAATCTGAAGTGGCCAGATCTTCTACAGACTGACATTAACCACAATTTGATCCAGCTCTACAGGCACCTCTGTAGTGAGAGACACACCTGGGTATGACTAATGAGAGAGATCTCCTTTCCAAATTATTTTTTGGAAACAAGTTTTGAGTTTGTACCTTCACAGAAAAATTTTAAATAGGAAAAGCTGAAGGTACCTGGAAGAAAGGAGCTCTCACTATGTCATTAACAAGAGGTAAAAACAAAGCCAGAATCTTACCCATTTAACAAATACAGCATTTTTTTTTCAATTTATATATGAAGAACAAAAGGACATTTAACCAATGCACGATTCAGCCAAGGGCAGAGCTTTCAATTATTGCCAATACTATTTCAGCAATGTTCAGCAATGCAAGTTAAGGATATATTTTGCTATAAATGTATTTTACTATACGAGGATTGTAGTTCAGAAAAAAATATGGAAGTGCTTGAATTTGCATCTAGAGAGGAAGCAGCAAAAGCCAAGCTTGCAATGGACAGAAATAAAAGTTAAAACCCCTCTCCTGTGTTTACTCTCTTATAGGCTATCATTGTTTTAGGGACACTTTTAATTTAATTTGAGGAAAACTGAAGTGTCCTATTTCTCACTCCTCAAAGTTTCAGAAGCAAGGTTTGTTTGGCAAGCATCTTTTACTGGACTAACTATATTAGTGGGGCCATAACCATATGCTATCCACAAACACAACGTACCCTTCCACAGATTGGCTCCAAACAAGGTATTGTTACCAACCAAATCTTGCTTTTCACTTTTCCTCCCCTCAGCCATTACAGCTACTTCACTATGAAGTCTCAGAAGGCATTCCCATTCAGAAAACTACAGGCAGAATTAAGGGCACGGCAAAAGCAGAGGGGCAGAAGAAAATGAAATCACCTTGAGCTGAGCAACTGCTTGCTCAGCATTCTTCTTTTGGAGTTCCTCTTGCTGCAATTTATTGTTCTTCTCCCCCAGTTCATTCACAAGCCTGGCATACTCCTGACGCAGTTTGTTCAGCTCAGCAGACTGCCTAAAAAATAAGAATTTTTATGCACTCTTTCAAGGTTACAAGCAACAGTGCAATATTGGCAGGCACTCAAATATCAACAAGTCTGACTGCTAAAGCACTGGAATGGGACAACGTTCAACACTGACATCTCAAAAAGCAGTAACCCCAGTTAGCATCTTTGGAAATTATGCATATGGAAAACAACTGTGTAAGTTGTTAGGGCTATGAGCTGTATATACCCTGTCCCAGGTGTCTGGGTACCTGTAGCACAACGGAGCCCTGCTTGTAGCTTTATTTGGACCATAGAGTGGCACTGCAATAGAATTAACATTTCTCCACTGGGCAGGACATAACTTAGGAGATGGAATGACTCTGCTGGTCACTCCTCTTAGAAAGCCTCCAGATATCACATTGTGCCACCTATTATTTATTTATAGTTATCATTTAACCCAGCATGATATCCCAGTAAAAGATGATTTAAGTCCAGAAGTATTTCAGCTTCTCAACATACAGGATCAGTGCTTTAGCTGCATATCATCTGTCAGACACTGAACACCTCTATACTTCCTCCTACTTGAGAGGCAGGTCATCCAGCATTCTCATTACCTGCTGGTGATGCTTGCACCAGAGATCAAGGTTTTGTAAGCAACACCCCTCTACTGTCAGTTCTGAAGGGAAGCTCAGGGAAGTGACAGCCTTTACCCCAAAGTTTCTGCTTTTGTAGCTTTAAATCCTTGTTACCTTTGCATCGGGTTATATTCCAGGTCCCCAGAATAGATAGAAGCTTAGGGCTGGAAGAAACCTCAGGAGGTTATGTAAGTCCAACCCCCTGCTCAAAGGAGGACCATCCCCCAAGGCTCTATCTAGCTGGGTCTTTAAAAACCTCCAAAGACAGAGATTCTACAACCTCTCCGACAATCTGACAGATCACTAAAACAAGGTAATATGGCATGACAAAAACTATAGATAAAGGCATTCCTAGGATCTCAGGGGCAATAACCATTCACAGGCTCTCTGAAGACAGGGCGTTTCAGGCTGTGAAAACCTACAGGTAGACATCAACAGAGAACCAGGCAAAGAAGCACAACAGCAGTTTGCAGTTAACTTCTGAGGCATTTTCTTAGGTGACCAAGAATTTATGGTCCAGACTGTCAAAAGTAACCAGGTGATGTGGGTTTTCAATTTGAAACACCTTGAGGGAACGGCTTTTCAGAAAGTCCTAAGTAACCATCCTTCAGAAAAAGAAAAACAGGACCCTTTACAGGGTCTCAAATGGACACAAACTCATTAACCGCTTCTAAAAACCGTGAGCTATGTGCTTTGTTCTCTAAGTATCAGAATAGGCACTCCTAGACCATCAGTACACACCCACATAAAAGTCCTGATTCTGGAGACCAATGCCAGTATAAGTTACCATTCAGTGGCAGCTTAAAATGAAAGTGTGGTGGCCAGAACAACTCTTCAGGGGAAGCCTCATGTTTAAAAATCCACACAGGTAGTTCCAGGGAGCTGAGGACATACTTGCTTTCCATTTGGTTGGTAGAAGTACTGACAGCATCTCTCAGGATACCATTTTCTTGTTTCAGGTGGCTTATCTCAGCCTCCATCTGCTCACGAAGTTGCTGGAACTGGAAGGGGAAGGGGGGGGAAGGAAACCAATTAATATTGTAACATTTTTCCCCCCCACAATTCGAAAAAATTATTTTTTTAAAGAATGGCTACAGTGTAATAAAAAAAATTACCACGGTCTTAGGGAAAGAAAGCTTATTTGGAGAGCTCCTAGATTTTGCAACACATACCCCATGACCCCACTGACTTAGATCTGCTGGGCTGAACCAAGAACAGCATTTGTCTCGCATACCAGCATACCCACTGGAATGCACAGACCACTCATAGAAAAACTGAGCATTCTTGGTTGTGTGACTGCCTAATATAAAGATGTTTTAAACCCCTTTTACAGTAGGATTTTGTACAAACGTCAAGACAAATTATTTCAAAACAGAAAGCAGGCAGAGAGGTTTAAAGTCAGGAGGAAGACAGAGTGTGAATCTCTGGTGTGTGGATAGTGTGTGCAAACTCCAGTACATGAAAATGGCTTGAATTGGGTCTTCATTTCCAAGATTCTAATCGATTTGAGATGCAAAGAAGGCTAGTTTATGAGCCAGATCTCTTATTTAGGCAATGGTGAAATTTTACTGCAGCCTGAACGGAGTCAAACTGACACAGTTGCCTTGATTATTTAAAACGAAACTCAAGAGGCATGATTCAGCATTTAAGAATGAGGACTCCATGGATCAGATGACAGGAGGTCTGGCTGCAGCAAGCTACTAGCTTGATCCAAAAGCCTGCAACACACGCAACTTAAATATTCTCTTTTCTCCTCTATTGGTATCAGTCTTTTAGAGACAGCTGACACTGTTTCCAGGACCTAGTTGCATCAGATAACTAATTCATCAATGAGGATTCTGTTTACAAAAAAGCGTTCAAGTGTTTGTCCAACAGCTGAGATGGAAAGGACCAGAAACTATGGGAGAACAGCACTGACACAGATGCCAAGTTATTTTTTTTTTTATGATGCACAACTCTAACAGAGAACAGAGACCACCAAAAAATCCCTGCAGGTAACCAGAAGTCCTGACAGTCACTGCCAGCCAAACTAGCATTCCCTTTCCTGCAGCCTGATTCCCAAAGGATACCAAGCAGGGGGCACAGATCTGGAACATCAGGAATAAAGAAAGGTTGCATTTATATTCACTCTTCCAGTTTCTGTTTCTAGGTGCAGATCATCAGAAGCTACTACCGCAGTGTCCAAAGAGTTCCCCCACCACACCCAGATTCAGGAACCTCTTGAGTACCAATACCAATATAGCAACAGCCTCTAGCTCTGGAGAGTTGGTTTTTTTGCACTCAAACCTGAGAGAATCTGCTCTCTGAAGAGAAATAATGAATAAGCATAAAATATATATATTTGTTAGGCTTAAAATGTCTGTAGCTCTGGTAGAGGGGGAGGCGGTGTTAGGTAAACAGAATAATTGCTAGAACTGAATGTTTAAATCAATTGTTATAAATGCAACCATACTTCGCCCTAAAAAGCTTATCCCAACTGTAATGTGACTTACTTTGCCTCCAATTTTGATGAAGCTAAAACTTTTCTTAGCTTGCACAGTGATTATATAAATTGAGGACAGAGCAGAGGGTCTGGATAAGCCAATCCTATGGTGGAGTTAGGCCTTCACAATTCTCAGTCAAGTGCTTTGCTAGTCGGTGCTATTTTACTATATAAATACATGCATCTCCTAACCTCCCTATTCTGTAATGCATTCAGTTTTAAAGACCACTTTGCATCTGGTCTGTCATTCAGCAGTGAGTGGCTCACAGTGCTGTTACAGTTATAAGGGCCATTTTTCGGAATCTGGCAAATGGAGCTATACTTTGCACCTTAAACTTTAGCAGTAGACAACAGAAAGCGTCAAAGTGAGTAAGCAGACCATAGACAAGCTGCCTACCATTGCTCATTTGGAGAAGAGGGAAATGACAAACAGAAATAGGAGGGTTGGAGCGTTACTGCAGCCATTAAGGAAAGACCTGGCATATCCCAAGAAGCAGGAGGCTTTCACTGCCTGTCTTTAGCCCTATATAGCATCAGCTTTGCCCCCACAAATTGCTAGAGATTCTGGCTAGAATATGAAGCTTTCATTTCTGTACCACCCAACCAGTGCTACACCCTCTACTAAAGCACGCTCTCAGCACTAGCTAATTTGCACTTAAACTCAAATCCGAACAATTTTGGTGAAAATGCACCTTTATCTTGATCTGCTGAGCTTCTTGATAGCCAACATGCATTTTACTCTGAAAAGTACCATGTTCCTTTTCTAGCGTGTTGATACGCTCTCTCATCTTAGCTGTAACCAAATTGTTTCTCTCCTTCTCCGTGACAAGCTCCTTCAGAAGGAAAAAAAAAAGTATAAGTAATTTCCCCCTTCCTGCAACCTCCTAAAGATCAGCAGGCTATACATTATTAATTATTCAAACTAGAACAAATCAGCATTCTTTACTATAGAAGTAGTCAAGCAATCAACATGGCCTTTTCAATCGTTTTGTAAGGATTTAGCAGCAACATGATTTCAATTTTTAATTAAATTGGGCTTTACAATGAAAACAAGAGTTTTTTAATTATTACTATTATTATTTCAGAGTAACTAGAGCAATACTTTTATTACATTTGGTCAAATTCTTCTCTCCATTCTATGCACATAGTCCCACAGCCATTAACTAAATTGTACAGGTATAACTAAGAGCAGAATATAATTTTGCTCTGAAGTGAAACAGGAGAGCTCAGCTATAGGATTGCTAGAAACCTATAATGCATTTCTGATCAAATATGTTGTATATTACAGATAAGCTGAAAGAGGAAGTCAAAATGAAGTTCAGCCAAATGCCAATAACCCCCCACAAGCCAGGGGGCTTCAGTACATACCTTCAGCATTACATCACATATTACAGCTTTAACTCTCAAGGAGCAAGTTAGTCTATAACCACTGTGTTATTTATAAAGCAAAATAGTATAAATGGGGAGTCACAGTGCAGCGTGGGCAGCTTAAAGCATTATCAGATGAGTACTTGGATTGGTCTTGTGTCAACAGCAGCAGTGGGTGCAAGCTCCTTTTTCTAAACCAAGGTGACAGTCACCTCAAGTCTTCTTATCCTCCACCAGTCACTATCATTCTACCCTGCTGGTTTCTCAGTCCCCCTTGTATTTGAGTTACTTTGCTCTTCTGCAGTCTTTTCAACCTTTCTGACTGCTCCTTTAATGTTTTCCATCATTTGCTCTTTCCTTTCATTCTGCCCAGCCAGAGCCATAACAAGGGGGGCACCCAAGCAAGGAGACCGGCCCGGGTGCCAAAGTGAAGGGGCAGGGTGTGGGACGGAGCCGCAAGTGGCACATTTCAGGGGGTGCAGGGACAAGGGAAGGGCAGCTCCCACAGCTGCCTGCACTCCCAGGCAAGCACTGGGGGGGTATGTGCCCCCTGGATCTGTGCGTGGGGTGAGGGTGGGCTGCCACTATGGGATTTGCCCCAGGTGCCAAACTTCATTGCTACAGCACTGTGCTGAGCTAATATCCTCAGTAGCCCCCTTCCTTGTTTATTATTAGACATTTATAGTCCTCAGCTGTGTAGGAGCTACTCCAGATCTCTCCACCCTCTATGCAACCTTACAAATAAATGCCCCTCCAGTAGCTTGCACTGGATGCCTCACAGCTAGCTTCCCCTTCTCCAGCACCAACACCACCACAACTCCTGAGCTTCTTGACTTCTCCTGCACATGCCTAAATTCCATCCATCATAGTAAATTCCTTGTCCATACTCATGTCATCTCAGGCCTTTATCCTCCCTCCTGGCAGCCTCTTCTTTCATTTGTTCCAGTCACCTGCATTGTTACTTGCTAGGGATGCACAGATAAAGATTTGGGGGGCTGATACCAGTAGCCGATATTTAAGGAGGCGTATTTGGCCAATACCAATCCAATATTCAATACAGCTACCTCCAGGTGCTAAGTGTCATGGTGGAAGGGGAATGGGAAGGGAAGGGGCATGGGGGGCAAATCAATGACCCCATGGTGAGAGAGTGGGCAGGGGTAGGTGTTGCCCAGTTGGGGTGGGCTGGGCATGGGACGGAGGCACGGCTCATGGGGTGGGGGAGCTCCTGCCACTGTTTGCACACCAGGGGGGCAGGAAGGGGGGTGCGTGTGCTCCCAGATCTGCGCAGCATGGGGTTGGCTGCAGCTGCAGGGTGAAGCCAGCGCTGCACAGGGCTCATCTCGCCAGGGGCTGGGCTCGTGGTGCTGGGAGGAAGGTGCAGCCACTCCGAAATTTTGCCACAGCTCCACTCCCAGGCCTGCGCCACTATCTGGCAGCTGGTGCAGCTGCAGCTTTTCCTGGTGCTTGGGTGGAGGCAAGGTGTTCAGCTGGGGTGGTGTGGGGCAGAGCTGAGGTGAAATCTGGGATGGCTACAGCCTCCTTCCAGTGCCGCTGGAGCCCGCTCTGAACCCAACACACACACCCCACCCCCACCCTCCCAGGGTGCAAGCAGTGGCGGGAGCCATGCCTCCATCCCACGTCCTGTGCCCCACCCTGCCTCACCTGGGCAGCACCTGCCTCTGCCCCCTCCTCACTGCAGGGGCATTGATCTGCACCGCCAACACCCCTTCCCCTCTCCACTCCCCTTCTGACTTACCAGCTGGAGTCAGCGCTCCACACTGCCAGCTCTGCTCCATGTTGGCTGCAGCTGTGTGCAGCACGGACGTTTAATAGCTGAATAATTGGCCCTATTGGGCCAATATCCAATATAGACAATTTTCTTTATAATCAGTACCAATCCAGTATCAGACCGATTTGTCAGTGCACCTCTATTACTTGCCATATCCAAAGCTGATAGATTGCGCATTGCCTTCCTCCAAAGTCATTACTAAAAGAAGTGAAACCGTCTCCATTACATGAAAACAGTGTTCCAGACAGCTGAACTGTTCTAGACTGAAACAGCGAATGTGATCTCAAGAGAGCTGAGCAGGCAAGTATCTAAGCTTTCTGCATTCTCACCTCCAGTAAAAAAAACACCTGCAAGTTCCCTGATCACAGCACCTCAAAATGTACAACCCTGGAAATGTGCAAAAATGGACCAAAAGAAAAAAATATGACTCATGAGTGTCTAACACTGTAATTTATAATACTTGACACTCAGCATCTTACAGGCTGTTTAAGGGAAGGGCTTTTTGGAAACACATTTTTTAATCCTTTATTTAAAAATTATGGTCCATCAATCAAGATACTGAATTTATACCTCAAAAGCCTATTAGAAAATAGAATGCCAGTGCACTACCTACATTGCTAAATGCGAGATGGTGCCTTAACATATGCATACCTCTGTGCATCTCATACAGATCTCATTAAAATTGCAACTGCTGACATCACCAGTTTGCCACAAGTATTATTTTGTTCAGATTCTTTCATTTCTACACTTATGCCTTTCGATGCATGTACCTGGGTTAGCTGCTTGCACTGTTCTCTGGCTACAGCAGCCTCTTCCTTCATAGCAGCAAGCATCTTGTCCTTGTCTTGCAGCTGATGCATCACTGCCGCTGAATCTCCTTTACTAGCCTACAGGAAAGAGATTAAAATGACAGATTCTGCACAAAATTTTAAAAAACTGGATTATGATTTTTAAAAGGCTTATAGTAAACCTGTAAGAAATTCAACAGCCACTACTGTACAGTTGTTTTGTTGCCCTGTACTAGCAAGGCTATAAACTTCAAGTGGTTCTCAGCCTGCTACAAAACGCCTCCACAATAAATTCCATTAGACCACGCTATATTGCTTCTGGCACCCAAGCTAGCTTAGGTATCTCTGCACAGTACTGCAGTGCACCATGCAGGCATGTGTACCTGGCAAGATCTAAATTTAGTCCAATAACTGGCGATTCAGGTTTTCTTCAAAAGCTTCCCATTAACAACCATTTCTATTTTGCATTTAAAGCAGAAAGGAAGGTAGAAAATAAATTAACACTCTCTCAAAGCTAGATAATTATTTATACTAGTTCAGTAACACAAAGCAAGTATTTTCTTCACTCGTTCAATCACGTGATGGACGTAATATTTCCTGCTTTCCTCTAAGTCTGAGGACCACAGCTATTAAGCTACATAGGACAGATCTGAAGAGTGTAAAGTGAAAAGGAAAATATCTCTTCTATAAATACATAACATTCTTGCACCGTTATGCTTACACTTACACAAGCACAACTGATTTGACAGTATTCACATTTTCACCCTCAATTTTAACATTCGTTGGGTTCTATACAAAACCAAGTCTTAATACTAAAATTTGGAATGGCTCCGTCAAATTAAACATATACTAAGCAAACTAGGTATTATGCCAAATTAAAAAGAGACAATACTAGTAAAAATCTTACCAGTGTGCAATTCATTTTATGCTCATACTATCTACAAGCCATTCTGTTCTGGTCAACCCACCCCG